GGGGCAGCCCAAGCCGGGCGCCGCGGGGTCCCCACCCCCACTCGGCCGGACAGTACCCGGTGTTCCCCCGTGCGGGGGGCGGCGGCGGCGGCTGACTGGACCCGACAGGACCGCGGGGGTGTTGCCACCTCCACCGAGGAGCCGGCGCGGCCGCGGGCTCCTCAGAGCCGGGGCCCGGGGCCCGTGACAGACGGCGGAGGAAGGAAGAGAGGCAGCGGCGGCGGCTCAGGCGACGGGGAGGCAGCGGCGACACCATGTCATCCCCCAGTCCGGGCAAGAGGCGGATGGACACGGACGTGGTCAAGCTGTATCCTTCGTGGAGGGGGGTTCGGGCTGTATGTAGGGGGCGGTGTGGGGATGCCTCGGGCACCCCCTTAAACCCAAGCAAGGGCCCTGGGGCACTCCAATCCACTGTCCGAGGCTCTCTCCCTCCCTGGCCTCCCCCCTGTGCCTACGGCGGCTGCTTGGCACCTCCCAGGAACCGAGAGTCTTTTCAGCTCCCCCTTTATCTGCAGAACCCCGAAATGTGCGTTTTTCCTCGCTCTTCCTGCACCCCCCCGGTGCCCGTGACTTTCCTCCACGACGTTTGGACTCCCAAGACGGCCTTTTTTTTTTTTTTTCCGTCTTTTTTTGGCAAGACCAGCCACCTCTCTTCACCACCAAGCCCACCTTCAGGGTCTCTCTTTCCTGTTTCCTCTTGATTTAGCGACTCGAGATAGAAATTCCTGAGAGTGAAGCCGTTCTGCCTTTCTTGAGATGCCTCCATTCCCCCCACTCACAGTGCTGCTTGAACTGGGGTAACTCAAGTGACCTCCTTTATCCCTAATTCCTTTCTATATTAGGAAGAGAGTAGTCTGCTCATTGCCCCCTCTTGTAAGTGGTGAAGAGCTCTGAGTGTTTTAAATCAGGGACTCCTGTTAAGCTTTCTGGTCGCTAGAAGAACCCCACTGTTTTTCTCTCCAGTGACAAAGCCTATCCCACCCATAGTTGAATGTGGTGAGGACCCCCAGGCCCTCCAGCAAGCTACCCTCCATATTGTGGATATGACAGCTGGGGGAGGGAAAGGAAAAGGATCTCCTTGATTAAATAGCCCCTGTACTAGCCACTTAAGCCAGTTCCCTCTATGAAGATAAGGTTCTTGGGGGAATAATTGCCAAATGACACCCTTTATTTTCCTACCCTTCCCCCCAACTTTATGTACTTTGGAGGTAGCAGTGGGAAAGCTGTAACTGATAAGAGTCCTTCAGGCAGTGGTTTTGGTTGGAGTCCAGACTGATTATTTCATGACCAACTAGAGAAATTCGCGAAGGTTCCTGTGACAAATGGAGAAAATTTTTGAGGGGTAATTTAGAGGGTGGGGGAGAGGAAATGAGCCCAGTGCTCTGAACAACTAATCACTGGGGAGAGAGGGAAACGGGTGGGAAATGTTAGTGTGTGAAACACAGTTAAAAAGTCCTGTCTCCTGCTTCTCTTTCTCTCTCACCCCCATCCCCCCACCATTTCCCCCTGTTGCAGGGTTTTGTTTATATAACTCAAGTTGTTTGGCTAGATTCTTCAGGTGAATTCCTTCTTTCTTCCTTTTATTTGTTACTGTTTTTGATTGGATATTTTACCTCTATGTAGAGATCGATGATTGTTGTCAAATACTCAGATATGGAATTCACTAAAGTTTTAAACAAGTAGTTTTTGCATTTAGTTTGGAAGCGGGGGATGGGAGGGAAGTTGCCTGGGCAAGAGATTTTCTTTTCATAATCTTTTCAGGAATAAGAAGGTGTTTTTATCCTCACTTAGGAAACTTGGGCTAGAAATTAGGAACAGATAGACTTCTAAGTTTTAGGCTTTGAAGTTTAGAATTTTGGGGAGTGGGAGTGGAGATTAGAGAGAGGAGCAAGTTATAAAGTATATATTATGTACCAAACATATGTCCAGGCATAAGTGAGACTCTTTATGAGCTGTTTGTGGCTCTGATTGAGTTTTGTAAATGTGTGAATGATGCCAGTAATGTTGGCTTTTCATAAGGTTTCAGGAAAACTTGTAACTATGGCTGTGTGTACATTTTACACAAAGCAGTTTCTGGTTTTTTGTTTAGAAACTAGGAAATGACATGGTGGCAGAATCTGAGTTATTTTTATCTTGAATTGAGAGTTACTGTCACACCTAATGCAAATTTCTACCTAATGTTTAATTGGGATGGGGGTGGGTGAGAGAATGCCAGCTGTTTTTGATCAATGTCAGATTCTCAAATTATATACATACATATTTTTAGAAGATTGAGGATAAAGGGTGAGGCCTAACTTGACCTGATGCCTTTTCCATACAGTGCCTTTTGTTCATTTAGTAGTTGTGGCATCTAGAATGATTACCGCATTTAGGAGTAGGGGTGTGGGGGGCGGAGAGGGAGAGGAAAACAGACAAAGAACAGCAGGGTGTCTTTTTTTCTTCCCCTAAGTGGCTTATTTCATAGCTTATTTTTAGTAGAAGATGAAGAAAGGCTAAGATGCATTGGCCTTCTGTTCTTTCCCCACCTTCCTCCTTTCTGACAAAAGAAAGCTGAGGCGCTTAAAATCATAGATCTCTGAGATAGGACAACGGTCTCGGGATTTAAAAGGCAGAGGTTATCTGTTTCGTGTTATTTTGTGGGCTAACATAGTTTGGAAGTTAAAATTTTCGTATTTCCTTTTGTGTGTGCATGTGTCTTGTGAGGTTGAGAGATTTTGTGGCCTCATTTCTCTGTTTGAATTCACCCTAGTAGGCCCAAATGGAGCCAACAGCTTTTGAGCAAGGTATATTTAGCAAAAAATTTAAGGAAAAAATTCCCCAACCCACTATGAAAATGAGTACAATTGTGTAAAAGGGCTGGGGGTTGAAAATGAAAGATGGTGGAGAGGAAGTAGAAAAGGTCTGAAGGAATGTACTTGCTTTTTGCCCCTCAGTGTCCCTTGATGATTTCTTTGGTGTGGAGGCTGATAACTGGTTTCATTGCAATCTCCTGTTTCAGCCCATTTTTGGATGTCTCCTGAGTGTAATTATGCCACCACGATTTACAGCCTGGTAGGAAACCTGTATAGTGGGAAAGTAGCGGTGTGGGGGGAGGGAGGGAAGATGTCTAACTAATTGGCCACTGCCTTCCACCACCTCTCTAGGAGACAGCGATTCTGGTTGTTTGGAGTCCGTGATCATTTCTTTCGTGACCGGTTGGTAGGAGGAGAATTGACTTCCAAGTTATACTGGGAGTGTTTTGCACCGATTCACTTAATAATCTGCTGGGCGATTATGTTCTGAAACTCTGACTCATTCATTGTTGCTCTTCTGATCCTTTGCTGAGTGTTGTGCAAACCTCTCCAGGAGCCTAGAAACTGATGTACATGACTTTTGGGCCCTGTTAAGAAAGTCCCAGTCAAGAAACTTGCAGTTAGCCCAAATCCTGTGAAATGGTTGTGAATGGTGTGGCCATTTGTCTGCAAAGTCAGGTAGATTAGCAATACTGTGTTGTTTCCAGCTTGGCAACCTTTGAGGTTTCCATCTCAAACCCCGCTGGTTATTTAGATTGTCTGAGAACTGGGACTCTGGTGACCTTAAAGCGTGATTTGCCCTAAAGGAATATCGGTTTAAGTTCTCCCTGGTGCAGGAACAAACAGCTCAGATTACACGGGTTTCCTTGTTGGTGGGGTTAGTCGACTCACCCTGTTGCACAGCCTGGTGATCCTTTTATCTGTGAACCGGTGGCCCCTGCTGAAGGCTGGAGCTGCTTGTTTTGGAAAAGCGTATGCAGGCAAAAGGCCGAAGGCACAGCTCCTCACAGCTCATTGGCTGCTCTGTTACTACCCGGAAAAGGAGGAGGGGTGGAGCTACCAAACAGCTGATGGAGTGTGTGGCCAGACAGTGTTTATATACAAAAGAAGTAGGGGCTGGGGAGGCCTTGTGTGTGGTGTTACAGGATCAAGTGCATTTTCAGGGGGTAAAAGGAAGAGAGGAAAATCTGACCTCTTAGAGAGAAAGAAATGTTCAAGGTTAAATCAGAAAAGTAGATCTGATAGTAATGGGAACTTGACATGCACTGTATTTGTTATTGTTATGAGATTTTTGGAACTTATTTTATAATACCAAGACTTTTCAAAGATTCCCTTTTTTAGAGGGAGTGCAGAAACTTAAAACAGGATATGTTGCTGCTTTATACTTAACTGACTCATGCAGAGATTGAAAAGTGTGGTAGAAATGTAAGCTTCTGCTGCAAAAGCTTTAAGAGTTCCAGAAAGGGGCAGTGACTTACACTAAATTCATTTATAGAAGTTAGTGAATCCTACAGAATTTTGGTTGTCTGCTTTAGCGTTCAGAAGCTTTCAGTAATAATTCATCCCCTCAAATGTTTGAGTACTCCCTTTGTGCCAGGTTTGGTGTTCGGTGCAGGGGGTTTAGTTGTGAAAAATTCAGTGTGGGTGGTCATGATGCTCCTGTAACCTGTCAAACAATTTATATATATATATTTTTAAGTTCAGCACTGTATGTATCACCTTTCTGAATAATTTGTATTTGCTTTTAGAATTGACTTTTCAAGGAATAGAAAGGTTAAAGTGTGAATTTTATGTGATGGGATGTATGGGAATCTGTGTTCCTGTTATTTAAAAGATAGATGTTAAAAAATGGAAATAAGAAACATTAAAATGTGTAGCCATTTGTCTTTGACATCAACTTTAGTATTTTGCTGTTAATCAATAATTATTCTATCCCTAAGTTAGTAATCTTTGTTCCTCTTGATTTGTGCTCAAAGTGTAGACAATTATGTAATGTTTTAACTAGCTCCAGTGTCAGTTAGGAACCTGTGTTTTCCCCTTTATTTCCTTTGGCCTCTGTTTTAGTGAGACAATGAGGTGGAAGGTAGAACAGTTTAATGGTCTTCAAGCTCAAAGTTAACTCTTTGGCAACTCCCAGTGTTCTGAATTTGTTTTCTCTGCCTAGATTTTGGTGACAGATATAACACACTAGTACTTATTTTGGTTAAGCAGGAACCTACATGAGTAAGCATTCACAACTTCAGGACATTTGATTCCTGCAGTGCAGTTCCAGTAAATTACACGCAAGCCTAAAAATTCAGCTTTGGGGGGGAAAATCTTTTGCAGAAGTGACCCATAAAAGTCCCTTACCCTGTTTGTGTGCATGTGTTAGAAAACCATGGATTTGTTGATTTTCTAGTGTTGTGAAATTTCCCTAACACCTTGACCTGTATTTATATATAGTGTATATAATTTAGTATCTTACTCAGTCTTAACAGATTTAATGGTTCCAAGAATCATTTGATTTTTAGGCGTA